CAGCCTAACAACCACCTTCACGTACAAAGGATAGCCTAGATTAGCTCTTATAAATAGCAGATGCACCTTTACTACTATAAATAAGGATTAGGTAGATAAGTAAAGTATACTATTCTGCATAAAAAAGAACTTATTTAAGGTAACCTTTACTAACACATTATTAATTAAGTATAGTAGAGGATAAATTAACTTAAAAACTTATAAAAAAAACCTTAAAACCTCTAGTATAAAAGATTAAAAATCTATAAACATACTTAAACTAAAAAGTAAATATAATGTAATTTTAGGCTATAACTAGCTTAGAACTTATAATTCTGTAATTAATTAAAAAACTATAACTATAAAAACTCCTAACAACTACGCACGCATAACCTAGTTAGCATACTATAACAATAGATGCCTAGTCTACAAATAAGCTAAGCAGGGTAGCAGTTACTACCCTAGGAAAAGGAAGCTCTAAAAATTCCCTTACTAAAAACTAAAAGCTTAAGTAATAAGAATAATAAAAAAAAAACTTAAAAAAGTCTTTTATAAAAAAATTAAAGCAGATAAAAATATAAAATAAATTAGTGTTATATAAGTCTAAAAAAAAGGTTAAATTCTGCCTAAATACAAAGACTATAAGGACATGTTTAAAACACTAGAAGACCTTAGAGAACTACTACTACACTAGCCTTAGGACTATGCTATTAACCTAATAAAAGATTATAACCTAAAAACGCATAGGCTCTGCCCTCTAACTAGGGCACAGAAGGAGGCTTTGCAGGAGTATGTTAATAGGATGTTAGCATAAGGCTATATCTAGAAAAGTCACAGTCCTATAGCCTTAGTAGTAGTCTTTGTAAAAAAGAAAGGAGAAAAAATATAAGTCTATTAGGACTATAAAACTCTAAATAATAACATAGTCTAAAATTAGTTTTCTCTACTAATTATATAAAACATTATAAACTAACTAAAAGAAACCTAGTACTTTATAAAGTTTAACATATAAGACAGATTTAATAAAATAAGGATATAAAAAAAAAATAAGTAGCTTACAGCATTTAAAACCTTATAAAGGCTTTATAAATTATTAGTAATGCTGTTTAGTCTAATAAACGCCCTAGCAACATTTTAGTAAATTATTAATATAGCCCTTAACCTTTATTTAGATGTCTTTACTTTAGTATATTTAGATAATGTCCTTATCTATTTAAGGGATACCCTAGAAGACTATGTATAGAAGGTATAAAAAGTTTTAGAATAGCTTAAGAAGTATAGACTTTACTTATAGCTCTCTAAATGTAAGTTTTATGTTACTAAAATAAAATACTTAAGATTTATAATTAATAAAAAAGAAATAAAAATTAATCTAGCTAAAGTATAAAAAGTACTTAAATAGCTAGAACCCTAGATAGTTAAGAAAGTAAAAGGATTCCTAGGACTATTAGAATATATTAGACAAATAATTAGAAACTACTTAAAAATTACTATACTATTAATAAACACTATAACTAAAGAGCAGGTAATAGCAAAGTTTGTCTAAACCTTAAAAATAAATAAAGCATTTATAATGCTAAAATAAGCTATAATAGATAAACTAGTATTAAAAATGTATAACCTATAATTAAAAACAAAGATCTACATAGACGCATCTCTTAGAGCTAGCAGAGCTGCGTTATACTAGAAGCAGGAAGACAGAAAATAGCACCCTGTTGTGTACTACTCTGCTAAGTTCTTAGGTTCTAAAGCAGGCTACAGCATACCTAACAAAGAGCTAAAAGTAATATTAAATGCTATAAAAGTATAGGCTATAGAGCTATATAGAATAGCAAAGCTATTTAATATTATAACTAACTATGCAAACTTAATTATGTTCTTATTAGTAAAGAAACTATTACTAATGCACATAAAATAAGTAATAGAACTTACATAGTTTAACTATATTATTAAGCATGTGCCTAAAGCATAAAACTAATAGGCTAACACTCTTAGCTAAAGACTAGACTACTTTAATAAAAAAAAAAAGGGAACTAAAGAATTTACACTTTTTAAAAAAACTAATAAAAAATAAGTCTATAATAAGCCCTAACTTATAAAAGAATTCTACATGCTTATAGCTAGTAAGTAAAAATAGAAAAACCTAATTTAAGAATATTATAAATCTCTAATGTTTAGGCATCTAGAAATAGGCACCCTTTAAAAAAAGCTAAGGACTGCTATACTATAATAAATACTAAAGGTAAAGCAACTATGCACAGAGGTGCTTAAAGAATGTAATACCTGCAACAAAAATAATCTAAGAAGGCATAAAGCCTATAAATATCTTTAACTAATTAAAGCACTAAAGCTACTATAGATAATAATTATAATAGACTTTATTACAGAATTACCCCTATCTAAAGAACTAGGAACAGACAAGATGTACAACATAATTACAGTAGCTTTAGATAAAACTACTAAGTATTTACATACTTAGCTCTTAAAAAAAACAATAACAGCTAAAAAATTTATTTATAAATTAAAGTAAAACATAATATTAGTATATAAATGCCTTAGAATTATTATCTTTAACTAAAATAAGCTATTTACTAGCAGTTTCTAAAAAGCAGTAATGCAGCACTTTAGCATAGCACATAAGCTATTAATAGCCTACTACCTGTAGACAGATAGACAGACTAAAAGAGTAAATGTAGAAATAGAAAAATATTTAAGAAAGTATATTTTCTACATTTAAAATAACTAGCTAAAATAGCTTTTAATAGCATAGTTAGTAATTAATAACATAAAATTAGCTATAATAAAAGAAACACTATATAAAGCTAATGTTAGATATAACTTATACTTTATATTGCATAGAAGTTAACTTATAGACTTATAAAAATTAATAAATTAGCTAATAAACCTACATTAAATACATAAAAAGTTAGCTGTAAAAGTAAGGTCTAGCAAAGCAATAATAGAAAAGTACATAAATAAATTATAATAACTAGAACTAGAAATTTACTTAAAAGACTACATATATCTTAACACTAAAAACCTTAAGATACCTAGACCTTCTAGGAAGCTAGCAGAAAAAAAGATAGAACTATATAAAGTCCTTTAGACCTAATAGGACAACTGTAAGCTTAAGCTTCCCTTGCATATAAAGATACACCTATAGTTTTATATCTCTAGACTAGAAAAAGCACTTAAGAAAGTCCTCTTATCTACTTAAAAATAAAAAAATAAAAAAGTAGAATATAAAGTTAAATATATTATTAGTAATTAAAAAAACTAAAAGAAATTTTTAGTAAAATAAAAAAAGTAGCTTACTAGTAAAAACACATAAAAACTAGCTAAGAATTTAAGAAATGCGCAGCTATTAGTACAGAGGTACTTTTAAGCTTATCTAAAAGAAACTAGCTAGGTAATAAGGCACCTATATTAAAAGAAATAGCTACATTATTACTAGATAGTAGCAGCCTTTAAAGACAAGTCCTAGCTAATAATAGTTAAAAAAAGAAATAGCCCTTTACTTTAGCTTTAAAAGCTTTTATTTTATTTAAGAAAAATAAGTTTTTTTTTAAGTACTTTATATAACAAGCTTCTAATAAATCTAATAATTTTTAAATATAATCCTACTTAGAACACTTTTTAGCCTTTACCTCTAAAGTCTTCTAAACCTAATGTAATATTTTATTATTAAGGTCTTGCTTTTAAGCTTTTATAGTAACTGCTTTTTAGAAAAGTGTTTTCCTCTTTTTCTTTAAATAATCCTATATAACATTAGAAATAAAGGTGTTGTATTTACTATTTTTTTTTACACACTTAACGCACTTGTCTAAGAATAAAGTTAACACATAAGATAACTCTAAGAATTAGTAAGTGCTATAGGGCTTTATCTTTGTCTAGTAAAAAAAATTAAAATAATAAATAACATAAAAATAGTAAGATAAACAAGACTAGTAAGCTATTTAGCATAAAAAAAATAAATATTAAAAATGCCTTTTAGCAGAAGGGCACTAACATTATAAATAAGCTCTTACTAACACAGTTGTGTAAGTAGAGCAGTAAGGACGCTGCTAGGAAGAAGGGGCAGCGTGTTACAGTCTACAGTTAGACTAGCGTAACTCCACCTAGGATGCTCCACAATATAGTACAGTTAGAGCAGGACTCGCTTACAGACTAAGCAGAGGACGTGGAGGTAGCACAGCTACCTAAAATTATAGAAGAATGCGTTGTCTAATAGGAGGATAAGACGTAAATTCTACAAGTCTAAAGGAGCTTAGTAAGCCCTACTTAGTAGGCTTATGTAGGCTTATCTAGCTTACCTTAGCGTCCCCTACGCATGTATATAGTTCCTACATTAAATAACCTTTAGAAAGTGTGTTTAACATTTAGTTTATTTTTTACATAGACTAAGTAGCATTTAGCTTTCTAAAGAGCTGTAATACTATTTATATATCTTACACTATATATACCTCTAACTTTGTCTATTAGGACTGTTTAACCCTAGCCTCCCTACTGCCGCACATAGGGCAAACTATGATCTAGTCACCCTCCCTTCCTCCATTAGCCTAATAGCCTGTACGTAGGACTGTACACCCTACCGGATTGGCCCCTACTATCCGTCCTACTTCTCCCCTAGGAATATCATTAGACCTGAGTGCTTCACGAAGCAAGGATTGTAACAAGTAAGCCTATTATTAATAGCTTATAAGAACTTAGAATAAGTAAGTAAAACTATAATCTAGGAAGTTATTAGAGACTAATGTAAGGTTTAAGATTCTTTAATACACGTAAAATAAACCTAAATGTTATTTAGTATAAGCTCTGCCTTAGAGATCCTGTAGCAACTGCATAGAGCAAGACCTACCTATTAGATTATGTTAAAAGATCTGTAAGAAAAGTTATAGTACTTAGGCTAAAAGAGTACTAAAAAAAGAAAATGCTTAACAGCGTAAGTATAGTTCTTACTACATAGCGTGCCTTAATTAAAAAAGCTAACTGTAACGGCGCAGGCAAGACAATAGGTCCGAATGCGGAGGGAATCCACTCAGAGGCATATGGGAGTGCGTGGGGACTCTGAACCTAGGAATGCCATTGACACCTATAGGCCTTGTACGAAAGGATATCAGAAAACTACCGAGCTAGCTACGGGGGCGAGGTGCGACTAAATACATGAAGGAATAGGGGTACAGCAGGGGGCAGGGCAGAGTCAGGGCCAGGTCGAGGTCGGGGCCGATACAAGGGCCTTCCGGAGGTCCCGGGCGACTCGAGATGGAACAATTCATAAGGATCGTTACACTACCCCCCCCTCTGTAGACTAATAGTCCCTATTAGTAGTAATTATAGTACAAAGTATCGCTGTCATGTCCTCTGCCTCCTTAAACCGAAACTGGTCTGATTTAGCTAGGTGTCCTTGCTCCAAATTATTCCTTCGCACTGCCAGCGGTGTCCTCCACACCCAACGCTATGCGCGCCTGTTCTGATAGTGATCTGTATAGATGTCTAGCTAATTGTTCCTTGCCATCTGTGCAGTTATTAATTTTAGGCGTGCGTTTAGTAAGGTAGCATTAGGTATTGTTAGGGGTGCCTTAAAGGTCTCTTGCTATAGGGTAGCAGTGATAATTTAAGGCATTATTAGAGGTGATTTAGTGATTAATTGAGGTCTATTAGGACATGTTGCTATGCATTGACTCTAAATCAGGTGGGGTATGGCTTGGCTAGAGCGTATTTGACTCTAGGGTTAGAGGGTGGTTAGTAGTTAGGCATTAGCGGTTGTCTCTAATCCTAATAGGTTATTAGTAGTCTCTAAGTTTCTACCTTAGCGCATTCTTTACAACTTTTCTAAAGGCAATCCTAATTACATAAGGATAGGAAGTTTTAAACCTAAAGGCTTTAGTTAACTAGAGGTTAATAGGATCTAGTCTATAGACTAAATGTAAGGACGGAGCTCTGTACCACTACGCTAATACAACTAAAAAGGTGCGAATAATTAACCAACAGTTAATTATTGCGTACAGAATAGTATATATACCCGT